CAGCTGCACCCGATGCAACCATCACAAAACAAGAGACCCGAGAACTAGAAAGGCGAGGCTTCACCACCCATTTATCCCTCTGCCTTTCAACCAGCACCACATGTGATTATCGGCCAGGCAGGCATAATTAACTAACTCAATATCTTTCTCTAGGGACTGGTATTTCCTGACAATATGCCCAACATATGTGAGATGAAGGCTTGGCATCCTTGCCTCTAAAGAGAACTCTATCTCTACTTCTTCCAATACAGATTTGTTTATTTTTTAGAAGGCTAACCCTTGATATTCTTTGCCATTACTAAAGGTCAAATACACTGACTCTTCTTCTGTCTTCCTTATTCAATATCTAACTTTAACCTGCATATATGACAATGAAAGTTAACATGGCTTGTGCCAGGCACACTTTAATCCTCAAAGTAACATCCTTGTTTTTCAATATTCTAAAGAGATCTTGTACAGCAGTTTTACCTAATACAACATATCTTATCTGCTGCTTCCATGTATTTTGATTGTGGAGGCAAGAAAGACAAAATCTTTTACAACTTCATCCTTTGTTCCACTTATTAAGATGCTAACTCCAGGTCAAGTTGTGAGGAGCTGGGGCTTCTTTGCATTGAGTCATAATCCATAATCCAGGCTGAAGGCTGCAATTCTCGATCTTCATCAGCAAGGAATTCAAGTCCTCCTCACTTTCAGCAAGCATGGTTGTGTCATCTGCATATTTCAGATTGCTAATAAGCCGTTCTCCTATCTTGATGTCACATGCTTCTTCAAGTAAGACAGTTTATCTAATGATTTGCTCAATTTACAGACTGAGTAAGTATCATGAGAGGATACAACCCTGATGCACTCCTTTCCTGATGTCAAATGATGCTGTATCCCCTTGTTCTGTTTACACATGTACCCATTCTTCTAAAAGTTATCCATAGTTTATTATGGTCCACACAGTCAAATGCCTTTGCATTTTGTAAAAAAGCTGTAAAAGTAGAATTGTGCTTTTCAAGGAGAACACCTCTGCCCATGAGCTACAATTAAAGCTTTTTTTCCATAACTAAGACTTTCAGTCCACCTTTCCTGACAGAATGTGCTATGATTCCTACCTGTGGCCCTGTGTTAGGCATTGTGCTGCTAGACCTAAAATCGGTGATTCAATTGTACAAGGTACTACATGGGAAAACTTGTTGGACAAAAATATGACTCAAAACTTGCTGAGGGAAAAAAGGTATTGGAACTTCCAGAAAAGAAGAAAACGATCATGAAAACTTTGGGAGAAACATGAGAAGGTCTCAGAAAACCAATACAAGGGGAATCTAACAAAACTGAGAAACAGGCAGACAACATTGATGATTGAGGCATCCTAAGAATATGATACTGATTGTACAGGATAGGAGTCTAACAAAAACAACAAAAACTAAACAGAAGACTCATATACTGGGAGACATTTTTTAGCAATAACGGATCAGACAAGATACTAATCTCTAAAATCCATAAAAACTACAACACCTCAATAAGAAAAAAAATAAATGGACAAAGGACATGAACAGACAATTCACCAAAAAAATATCAGTAGGCCAACAATCATATGAAAAACTTTTTATGATCACAAGACATTCAAGAGATGCAAAACAGAGAGATGATATATCACATCATGCCCACATTGATAGAAAGTTAAAACAAACAAACCAAAAATTAAAAAATTCTGCAGATATTGCAGTATTTAGAATCCTTAAATACTGTCAGTTAGAATGTCAAACTGCCAGTCTATAGTGTAAATGTTATGATGCTTCCTCATACAACTGGAAATAGAAATGTAATTTGAACCCAGCAATCCATTTACTCTGTATATACGCTAAAGAAATAAGGAATAAAGCATGAGCAGATATGTGCACAACCTGGTTCATTACAACACTATTCGCAATATCACAAAGATGAAAAAACTGAATTGCTCAACTCTGGGAGAATGGATTAATAAACTGGTGCACAATGTAATAATATGTATCACTAAAGAAAAATGACAAAACTCTGAGACCCCCCATAATATGAATGGATTTGTAGGACATTATGTTGGGTGAAATTCATCAACCTCAAAAGGAATGTTTTGTATAACTTATTTTTTAACAAAATAAAGATAAAGATTTCCATGCCAAAAGAAAGATATTTTGGTGGTTACCAGGGACAGAAGAAGAAATAGGGGCTGGGGACGTAATAGACTAGAAAATAGATAAGTGTTAATTTGGCTCAAGGGGAAGATAATGTCCTTCAAGATGGAGAAGGGCAAAGGATAGAGAGCAGCTAATGGCAGGTCTGATAAGTTTTACAGTACAAAATTGAAGATCTGAAATATAATTCCCCACCTACTTACCAATAAAATGTCTTAAAATAAAAATATGTCCATGTAAATACACCATTAAGAAACTAAAATGACCACATCAAAAGATGTGTTCATGCAATCATATACCTTAAAACATTTACATACAAATTATATAATACTTTTCTAAAAATTAGTATTAAAATGCAGAAAAAGTCATAAAATAATGGACAAAATACCTGACCTGTAATTCACAAAGACCAATATGGTGTCACATAAAATCATATTCAGACTTACATTAGGAAAGATATTATTTGAAAGATTAATGTACTAAGAAAAACTCTATGACACATCTGCAGAGATTTCAAAATCAAATAGAAAAGCTATTTCTTTTATATCCAAGGATAAGCAAAATTGACAGGAACTTCATGGTGAGAATGATTGGTGAGGTTAAATAGTAAATGTTTCTCTCTGTGATTGGTCAAATCTTAAGAACATGCTCATAAAGAAAGGTGTTATCTTACTGCTTATTTAAGCTGGTAGCAATCCTAGTTGCAAGGCCTTATAGGAGGACAGAGCCTGACTAAAGCGTGGGAAAACCAAGCTAATTGGTCATTTTTAGCTCATAAATTCAAATCCTCAAACCCAATCCACTGTCATCCATTTTACACTGACCCTTAGTGGCCCTATACAATAAAACTTTATGGAAATGTACGTTCTCATCATGTGACAGAACTGAATATCCACTTGTACGTGGGTAGGTGTGGAGTCCAACTTGTCAGTGAGGTCACAGCCTGATGATGTCTCCTGAGAGGTGGGACCTTTGTATAAGAGAGACGCTAGGCCTCCCCACCACCCCACTCCCTGTCTGTCCCTTTGTCTTCCTTCTTGTTGGGACTCCCTGTCTGCCTTCAGGGGGGTGCTCATTTGGGCCACACATCCCTGAAAGCTGTGGATGCCCTGCCATGTTTCACCGGACCTTGGCTCTCTCCTATCCTGTGACTTCCTGCATCCCGCTTCACCTTTCTGTGTCATCTGACTGCAACTAGGTGACTCTGAAAGGGCTTCAGTTAACCTCAGACCCACAGTGTGAAATTGGACTGGGCTGGGATGCCTTCTTGATATAAGATGATGTCTTGATATAATGCTTTCTTAAACAGGTATGGATGTTACTGGTTTTGTTTCTCTAGACAACCCGAACTGAAACACGGGGCTTAACCTGCTGTCATTTTTGTTTCCAAATGAACTCAGGCAAAACCATCAAGTTTCCTTGATTGTTAAAAGTTGTCAATATACCTAGAAAATGCAATCAACACAGTTATTTCTTAGTGAAAATCATGTTAAATGCATAATAAAATATCACTATATTCCCAATAACAGGAAGGTAGTGATATGTAAGATGACAGATACTATTAAGTATTGCAAATAAGGTAAGCAAACAGAACTATCATATACTGCTGATTACTATCATATGAAACTGCTCTTTTTAAAAAAATCATTTTATTGGGGGCTTGTACAATTCTTATCACAATCCATACATACAGCCATGTGTCAAGCATATTTGTACATTTGTTGCCATCATC